CATTAATGGCTCTAATAATGTTTGTCCGAAGAATCCGTTGTTTGCAATATATTTAAATGAAAAATATTTTTATTATTCAAACTTTACTTTACTGTTAACAAAAATATATACATACCATATATATAACAGAATAACAGACAATTATTTAGAGGATTAATGCAATAATTAAATAAAAACACGGTTTAAACCCTAAAACAAAATATAATTAATAAAAACAATTTTAGAAAAAAGAGTTACAATTTATTTAATGACATTTTATGAACGTATTTAACAATTATTAATATGAAAAACACATACTTTTCTCATTCAAAAACCAATATAAAAATCTAGACTAAATCAAAAGAGCGAGAAAAATGTGTTTCATATCATAAATAACAGCAATTACTTAACAGATAATAAAAGTAAGATTTCATTTGAATTGTGTTTTGCTTTCACTTATAGTATGAATAAATGTCTCGAAAAGGAGCTCAATATTTGTCTAAATATTTATTTAATAAAATAACTCTTAATTTTCCACATATAATAAGGTATAGCTTTTGTTATATATTGGCATCAAATTAAAGCTAGTTTTGCGCGAAATGTACACCAAATACGGGTATAAAAAGATGGCCTTATATTGGACACAAAATATCGAGATTACAACAATATGATGGCATCACCATGATGAGTTTAAACAAATGGTCATTTGTAAGTTTACAATGAAATACAGTATTTTACACACAGACTCTCAATGGCATCAAAACTCAAACCAAATTCAAGTTAAATCTAAATTGATTTATAAGACATATAGTCATACCCGTTGTGGCCATCAAATTGTGTGGCCTTTTCTCGCAATACTAACTCAAATATAGTGTCAATGAAACGCAAACAATAGCTTTAAAATGTGTGTAATTTTCTATCACATGTAGTACTCAATCACTGGTTTCAGTGATACTCAACAGAACCCACCGAACGGTATACATAAAGGCCGCGAACCCAACGATCACCACAACGTTGGCCATTGCGTTACCGAAGTATCCGTTCTCCTGATTCGCTCGTAAACCCGATCGCAAAGAGTTTCCCAATTCAGTCACTCTTCCGCTCACACTATTCTTCGCTTCCAACGATTGTCTCTTTCGTAACATTTCTTTCATTTCCTATCGATTTATAAAACATATGATTGAGAAAAAAAAACACTTCATTTGAAGGCAAGACTATTTATAAGCGATTCAAACCTCGACTAAATCGGGAAACAGTTCCACAAATATCTTGTTCTTGAGATTAAACTCAAGGCTCTGTTGGGCCAATCGTTTCTTCTCGTAATCGGTGGTCTCAATGGATCCCATTGTGGGGTTCTTCTCGACCATAAACGATAGCAAACCGGTCAAAATGGTGGACACACTCCACGCCGGGTTCCAACTGTCGGGATGAAAGTCACTGATGGACAGACACAGCCGAACGCCACACTTGAACCGTCCGTTTGGTGTCAACATATAAATAGCCGGCGGTTTGAACGGAAACTCCGACGGGAACTGAAGCTTCCCGTGATATACACCGTTCACATACGGCGTCCCTTCCGGTCCGCGAACCACGTAATGCCTGTCCGAACGGATCCAAAACATATGTGTCAACACGTGTTATCAAATGGTAACCCATATTATGAATGAATGCAAACTACAGACCACTCGAGGATATTGTTGTGGAGCGGATGGGCCGAGACATAGGGCACCGGATCCCTAATGATCCGCAAGTAGTCCTGTCGGAGCCGTTGGGTGGCTGTCGAGCCCCTCATCCTCTGGTGA